CAGCTCATGCACCAGGGATGGGTCCTGATCCCACCACCATCCTTATTATCCGTGAAATTGGTGCTTAAGAAAACTGACGGTGATTGAGCTCTGGAAGCTGTGCCCAGTTCTCTCCCATAGATCACATCCCAGAGAGATGAGGTGACTCCACCCAGACTCCTTAGTTCCCTGGAAGAGAGCCTGTTGTGCCCACTCCATGGAGGCTGAGGTGTGAGGAGGGTGAAATCAGGTTCCTGAAAGTCCCAGGACACAGAGGAGTCTCTACTGTGGTCTGTGTTTCCCAACCTGTTAGACTGGTTTCTGTGGAGTGTTTCACACACAGAAGCCAAATAATCATGGAAGGATTGGGTATTTTGTGTATCTGCTCCCAGGATAAAGCCCCGTGGATGCAGGAGTCAACTTTAACCATTTGTCCTGAACACCTGAGCAGGAATATAGCTATTCACACACCTCCTCCCAATACCTGTACACACACCACACATACAAATACAAACTCATATGTGTGTAAGTAAGCACACATGTATGTATACAAGGCACATATGTGAATACATTGCATACATACTGTTCTGGTTTGCTTTCTCTTGCTATGATAAAGACTGTGACCAAAAACAACTTGGGCAGGAAAAGATTTATTTAGCTTATAGTTTCTAGACCATCGGGGAGAGAAGTCAGGGTGGAACTCAGGACAGAAACTGAAGCAGAGGCCATGAATGACAGCTGCTTACTGGCTTGCTCCCAGTGACTTGCTCAGTTTACATCCTTATACCTCCCAGGACCACCTGCCCAGGGATGGCACTTCCCCCGATGTGCTGGGACCTCCGACATCAACCATTAATCAAGAAAAGCCTCCCCCGCAAACACACACAGATTTTCCTGCAGGTTAATCCAGTGGAGGCTTTTCTCAACCGAGTTTCCTCTTCCTAAAAAATTCTAGTGTCCAGTTGACAACAAAACAAAACAAACCCCCAAATGAAAACTAACCCGGATGCATAACTACACATATGTACATACAGATGCAGATGCACACATAAACGAACACATGTACATACTGGCAGTCAGTGCACATATACACATGTGCATCTATACACACGAGCACAGGGACACATGCCTGTGCACAGGTACACTTACATACACACACAGTCTTTTTGCACGGGATTGTCCCAGGGCTACTTATTCTCTCTTCCCACCCTCAGGGCCTGGTCCAGCAGCTTTGGGGAGGATTTCATCTCTCCTCTGCCACCTGCAGAGGTCTTCTGTCAGCCTCAATGAAGGGCTCACTACTTATCCAGGGCCATGGTCATTCTCACTTGGAAGAGTCCCTATGTTCTTGAGGCTATAAGCTGTGGGGACACGAGAGAGGAAACACTTCAGGCCAGAGCTCACCTCCCATACCCAAGCCCAAAGGCTCAAGCCTGCCTGCATACCTGCTCCAGTCTCTCCCTCTGCTGACCACAGCCTCTCCTTCCTCACTTGATTCCATATGTTTCTTATCAGCAAATCCCACTTGCTCAGGTTCAGTTCTCTCCCCCTTAATGCATGTCCTGTGTCACTCACTAGGGCCAGCTACCCACGTCACTCACTCAGCCACCATACCTGGAATACCGGGGGCTAGCTTCCCTTCTCTTGATGGTGCGTCTCCTTCTCACATGTCCCCCAGCTTGTAGCCTTCAGGTACTCATGAATGAACAATTCTCATTGTTTCTTTATTACACAGGTGTCTCATGTGAGGGGCAGGTGTCTTGGCAATCACTGAACCATGGCATTTCTGGCCTCCACTGCTCCTTCCTACAAAAACCCCACCACAGAGCCAGGTTGGCGTATTAAACCAGCCAATGAAGAGTGGCCTTGATTAAAGTGGGTTTGGGAAGCATATGACACATTGTCCCCGATCTCAATCTCTAGTTTGACTCTATGAGGTTCTTGTGGCATGGCTGTCACTGATGACTTCTACCCGTGGAAGTTAAGCCATGCAGTTGACAACTCACTTACTGAGTCAAGAGACTGGGTGGGAAGGGGTAAAGAAACCATTTCAGTGTTTATGCACGTTGAAGCATGGCCTGTGAGAGGAAGCAGAGCCCACATGGCAGAAGGAGGAGGGAGAAGCCTCTCCTATGACTCCTAAGGAGTCATAGGTCCTTCTTCTAAAGATCTCATTACTTCATCTGGAATATGGAATGTGGGCATCACGAAATGATTGCCTTTTCTGTGCTAAGGCATCACTCATCTAGATTTTGTGTGTGTGTGTGTGTGTGTGTGTGTGTGTGTGTGTGTGTGTGTGGTACTGGGGATGGGAGTCAGGGCCTTATGCAAACTAGATTTATCCCCAGATTTATCTACCACTGAACTTTATCCCCAGCTCAGCTAGATTCCTTCCTTCTTCTTGCCCCCAACCTCTTCTTTCTGTGTATGCTGTGTGTGTGTGTGTGTGTGTGTGTGTGTGTGTGTGTGTGTAGTCACTCATGTGAAGTCCAGGGGTTGATGCCAAGTATCTTCCTCTATTCTCTATTGCTTCCTCTGTTGTCTTGTTGTTCAAGGCAGGGTCTCTCGATGAACCTGGTGCTCACGGATTTGGCTATACTAGCTGTTCGGTGAGCCCCAGTGATGCTCTTATCCCTTCCTCTCAACAGTGGGACTAGAAACATGTACCTGGCTTTTTACAAAGGTCCTGTGCTTTCATGGCGAGCACTTTGACAATGGAGCCATCTTCCCAGCTTCGTGGATTCCTTTCTAAACAGAGTTCCCATTTTACATGAAATGGCATTGATTAGCTGAGTGGTGGTGGCACACACCTTTAATCCCCAGCACTCAGGAAGCAGAGGCAGGCAGATCTCTGAGTTGGAGGCCAGCCTGGTCTACAAAGCAAGTTCCAGGATAGCCAGGGCTACACAGAGAGATCCTGTCTTGAAAAACAAACAAACAAACAAACACCCAAAAACAAACAGAAGAAATGGCATTGTTGATGCTCAAAATCTGCTAACATTCAGAGACTTGGCCTGTTTGATTTATCTACAACCTCAAAGTAGGTGTAAGCTTTGGTGTTTTTGTTGTGGTTCAAACAAGAAAGATCTGATAATGAAATAGAATGAGCTCTCCATTCGAGGAGATATTGTTGGAGGCTTCCACCAAAGATAAACCAGCTTGTCCTTGAACGTGAGGTTTATCACAGAGTCAGAAGCATCTTCTGTTGGTCTGAACTTTTTACTTTGGTCTTAATTAATCCCCATACATATGGGTAGATAAACCCTCTTTGCTTATAGATGAAAACATTGGGACATATTTGGCCAGATTAGCAATGAATCCAGAACCAGGGACAGAAAATCTCCTAACATTGAATGCTAAGTGTTACTTAACCAAAGGAACATAATAATACAATAATTATTAAGTATTTTGATTTTAATCACAGGCTCTACTAAGAAGATGAGAAGAAAAAGACATTTCAAATATAGATGGATATCTTCAAATATTCTTTAAAAAAATAAACAATGGAACTGGATTGAAGCATGTTATTAAAAGCCCCACCTTTCCTGTATCTCTCATCAAGCAGGATGCCTCCTTACTCTGCTGTCCAGGTTGGAATGACATTCTCCACCCAGAACTGGTTGTCAGCTTCATTGAGAAATTGGTTGCTTAATATTTATTGAGGTCTCTGTATTTTTCCAGCACTGGGCAAATAAACTATCTAACTGAAGCCTTTCTCTTTCCTGCTCTCTCTCCATCTGAGGCTCCCTGGACATAGGGTGGGATTTGGGGTGGGGGGCCAAAGGCTCTGAGTATTTGTCTGGCTTCGCTTCAGAGATGAAGGGAATGCTTGGTCCATTTAACTGGTTGAACCAGAGACAGGTGGAATTTGTTACGTTTCTCAGGAAGAAAATGATTTAAGTTTGTTCCTATGGTTCAGGCAAAGGTGGAGGAGAGGAGGGAACCTTTAGAGATCAAAAAGGTGCTCACTTGAAATTCATCTTGGGCACTCCATGGCAAGTGTCCACTCACATGTCTACCCACCATTGAAGAGTCTTAGGGACTACCCCATAGTGTTGAGATCTTGCTCTGAATCCTACTGCTCCAGGTTGCACGTGGATGAGTTTCCTTCCAGAAGGCAGAGCATACACAGAAGTCGTCCCAAGTGGATTAGTATAGGGCTGACACAGGAAATCCCCTGGCTGGACTTCGCTGGCCACACATTGCCTTCCAGGGCCCAAGCAGCATCCCGGCAAGATGCTCCAGTCTCCATTGTTTCCCACCCTGTGCATGGAACGATTGTCTCTCATCTCCAACAGAAACAGCCCAGAGAACACTGGACTTGGCTGTGGAGTTGTAGGACTCACTAGGGGAGATAAAAAGCCTTTCCGTTCACCTCTAAAATCACACTTCACTTTTTTTTTTTTTTAAATAAACGATGCCTCTGCAGAAGAATGCAACCCGATCAGATCCTTCCCTTCTAGACGATAGATGCTCAAGACGCAGAGTCCCATCCTCTCTCCTTGCCCTGGACTGCCCTGGAAAGAAGGCCGTGGCTAAATCTAGGAAACCTTGGTGCTTCTACCTCCCTGTTTCCTTTAACCTCACCCTTAGGACAAGCTTGAGAGGAGAAGTCCTAAGCTGAATCCCCCCTAAGGACTGCTGAGCCTCTGAAGGCAGCTTCTTCAACACCTGTGCCTCTCTCCAGTGAGTCTCTGTGAAGCTGGGGAAGCACTCTTGAAACCACCAACTTGGTCAAAGCCTCTAGGGGAAGCATGCCCTAGGCAGATGTCCATGCAGCGTGGTGGTCTGCCCTCAGTGCAAAGAGAGGCTGGTAGTCTCTGACCCATTGCCCCCATGGCACTTCCCATCAATTTACCCATGGGTCTTCCCGTCCATCCCAATTACTTCATTCCTTGTCTGCAGCTGATCTGTCCCTCCCTGGGAGGAGCATCTTGCCTGAGGGCAGGTAGAGGGTGGGGAGCCTCCTCCCTTCGCTCCAATTGCAGAAAAGGAGGGGATTCCCATGCCAGGGCAAGGCTACCTATAGCTCAGCTCTCCAGCAGACACGGCCTCAGATCCCAGCAGCAGCCCTGAACGCTGGACCACAAACCCCAGGAGCAGTAGACTGACATCTGGTTGACGGCAAGCTCAGAAGCTCTGTGAGGTACAGAGGACACAGCCATGTCTCACGGGTTTGATAAGGAGCAGGTGGACGAGTTCCATGCAGCCTTTGATAGATTTGACAAGAACAAGGACGGCCACATCAGTGTCCAGGAACTGGGTGATGTGATGAAGCAGCTGGGTAAGAACCTCTCAGAGGAAGAACTGAAGGCGCTCATCTCCAAGGTGGACACAGACCAAGATGGCACCATCAGCTTTGACGAATTCTTGGCAGCCATGGCCAAGTACAAGAGAGGGAGCACTGAGCAGGAGCTGCGGGCTGTGTTCAGTGTCTTTGACCAGAATGGTGATGGCCACATCACTGTGGAGGAGCTCAAGCAGGCCATGGATCAGCTGGGCGAGAAGCTTTCACAGGAGGAGCTGGATGCCATGATCCGTGAGGCTGATGCGGACCAGGATGGGAGGGTGAACTATGATGAGTTTGTGCGCATCTTCCTTGAGAAGTGAGACTGCCAGGCTGCAAGCTCCTCCCGGTCTCTATCTGCCTGACTCAGGCCCGACAGGCACTGTTGTGCCTTTCTTTCAGGGCTCCGCTTCTGTGTTGGGGTTATAAAGGAAAAGTCTGTGTTGGTGTATGGGAAACTACCTCATGAATGAGGAAGACTTTACTGGTCCTGGATGCTGTGCCATCCGGGGCTGCCAACTAGTCCTCCTCTCTGCCTGCTGAGACTCTGGGCAAAGGATAGTCTCCTTGGGCTGGTCCCTCCTCTTCCTCCTGCTGTGGATTGGGTGCTTCTTACCTCTCAGGGCTCTCATAATGGTTTAAATAAAAGGAATGCAAATTCTGCCTGCTTGGTGTTTGATTAAATAGAGAATTCTCAAGGGCTTCCAAAAATACATTCTTTGGAGCTACAATCCCTTTCATAGAACTGGTGAGAGCTGATCTGAGAAGCTTTTTGGTTTACCTATTGCCTTGCCTAGTTCCCAAGGAGGAGGAAAGGTGAGTAGTGGCATGTGTGGTGGGGGGTAGGTCAGAGGGAGGAAGCAGGTGTTTTGAGCTTTAAGGTGTGCCTGAGCCCCTGGGTACCAGTGCCTGGCCTAGGATGGGCAGAACCAACTGCACTCCACCAAGGAAAGACGCTCCCCTTCCCACACAGCCTGCTGTGCCTTAACCTTGCATAAAAAGGTGGTGAGAATTGTCTCTATATTTGTGCCTCTGTTCATGTCTATGTCTGTCTGCATAAGCCTGTCTATGTGTAGTGTGTATGTATGTGTTTGTCTATAATATCCATGTATGTCGACATGGGCCTGTGTATCAGTATACACAAAGATGCATGCATGTGTCCCTGTGTGTACCTGTATCTGCATGTGATTTTGTGTGTCCATGTATTCTGAAATACATCATCCTATAGTTATTTTTAAAAGAGGTGTCCTTAGTAATGGGATCCACTTAACAAAATCTCCAGGCAGGTAGCCGGATGAGACGTGGTCAGGGCACACACATGATGGATAAAGCGTGAGAAGCAGTACTGGATGGGGAGGTGATGGAGTTCCATGCTGAAGGCAGAAACAGCAAAGAGGCCTTTCCAAAGCTGATAGCAGGACATTCGTGTTTCCTCAGGAAGAAAGATTGAGGGCTGCAAGGGCTCCCTCATCCACACCTGAGACAAAGAGGGGCACTGTGTGAACTTTGGTGGGGACGCTGCTGCCTAGTTTGGAGCACTACACTAAGAGTCTTGTTTGCCATTTAATAAACTGGGCGCCTGCCTCCTCCTCCATGAAATGGGACCTCTCTCTCTCTCTCTCTCTCTCTCTCTCTCTCTCTCTCTCTCTCTCCTTCTTTGTCCAGTGAAATTTAAGCTCACATCACCTATGATATTGCTCTTATCTTGTCCCAGCTGTGCCCAGTCAGTGGCTCTCATCCCGGGTGGGGAGAGAGACAGAGCTAGCTTCTCTGAAGAGCTGTTGCAAAATGCTTCCGCCCAGCCCGCCCCTCCACCCCCTCACTCTGGCACACCTGTGGTGGATGTGCACCTGTGGAGAGCATGCATGCACCTGTGGTGGTGAGTGGCCAAGCCAGTCTTCTTCATCCCTGCTTGGGCACAGAGCTCAGTGGAGCGAGGAACTGGTGGAGTTCACTAAGGGAAGTCTGCCGTATCTGTGAGATACATTTATGTCTCCCCAGTGGGCTTACTCTGGGGTTACTCTAGTCTCTTTGGTCCTTATACATTGCTACTTTGTCCCTCACCACTCTGTCATCAGATATCTGGCCCCCTTGGATACCTTCTAGCCTGCTGGGTGGAGGCCTGGTTTGCGAGGGAGGGAAAGGCCTGGGGCTGGAGCGCCATGGTGCCCTGTGGGTGGAGTGGGCAGGAAAGGTCTGGAAACTGATTCCAGGCTCCCCCAGCTGAGCATGGGAGGGAAGCAGCGTGGACCGAAGGGCAGGCAGAAGGTCTAGTGGAAGGATGGGGAGATGAGGGCCCGGGGGGGGGGGGGTCGGGCAGAGAGAGAGCCACAGGCTGGAGCGTCCAAAGTACGGATTACTCCAGGGTCAAAGATTGCAAGGTTTCTGTGGCAAGATAAAAATACATGTAGACAAAATAGGCTGCAGGTGTACTTTTCAGGAAAGTACATCTGTGTAATATGTAGGAAGCATTGGTTTTGATTCCCAGCATTCATAAAATCCTGTGTGGTGGTATAGGCTTGGGCGGCAGATGCAGGAGGATTAGAAATTCAGAGTCAGCGGGGCAGTGGCACTCAGGAGGCAGAGCCAGGTGGATCTTTGTGAGTTTGCGGCCAGCCTGGTGTACAGAGTGAGATCCAGGACAGGCGCCAAAACAAAAAGCACAGAGAAACTCTGTCTTGAAAAAAAAAAAAGAAAAAAGAAAAAAAAAGTAAAAGAAAAGAGAAAGAAAGAAAAAGAAAAAAGAAATTCAGAGTCATCCCTGGCTCCCTAGTGAGTTTGAGGCCAGCTTGGACTACCTGAGACTCTGTTTCAAAATAAACAAAAGCTGGGGAAAGACTTTACATTCATTTTTGTTATTCTGCTACTCCTGTGCTCGCAGCACTGAATGTCTTTCTGCCAGGAAGCTATCATGACAGCAGAGGGTCATTTGGGGTTTGGGTTGGGTTTCTCTGTCTCCAAATCTATTTTGAATGTTATTGATCCATGAAATCTAAACATCTGATAACAACTGCTGGAATCTAAGGAGGACAAAAAAAAATCAATTTTCTAAAAAGAAAAAAAGTCCCCCTTTATCTCTCAAGTGTGAATATTTTTGTCTAGTGGGAACAATAAACACAAAATTTGGTAGCTCCTTCTAGTGGGAGGGAGTGGAGTGCCTCGGAGAAGGAATGAGAGAAGCCACAAGGGTCTCCTTAATGTGCTCTCGTTTCCAAGTCTGGCTGTAGGCTACATGGATGTCAACTGTTTTATTCTCTAGATGTTAGTTTATTTTAGACTACAAAAATACCTGCAGATTATAGAAGATTAGAAATTACAGAGGGGCGCTTAGAAGGAAATCACTCTCCAGCCTGAACCACACCCAGAAAGAATTGGATGGCTTATCTTATTTTATTTTATTTTGCTAACTATCCAAGCTCTCTCTGGCCCTCACAGTGAGAAAGCTAAGTTAATTCTCCAACTCTGAATTTATGACCTGTTGGATGACTGGGGATAAAAGAGATGGATTTAACCAACTAGGCATCTAATCTTTGCCAACTTTACCATTGAAGAGCTGGAGATGAAATATCAAGGCATTTTCTACAGCATACTACCAACCACAGGGCATGTGTTTCCCAGGTTAAATCTAGTTTTTCTTTCCAATAGTAACCCAAGGTCCCAACATTTTACCATGAAAACACATTGGAACTGAAATTCTTGTGTCTTGGAAGGGAGAGCCTAACCCATGCTGGAATTGTACATGTGCACCACCACACACCATTTATACAATGCTGTGGATCAAACCCTGAGCCCTGTGCATGCAAGCTAAACACTCTGCCAACTGAGTTATGCCCCCAGCCTTTCTACGCTTTAACATGTAATCTGTGTTATGTAGGAGAAAACATTTCCCTTCTCAGCTTCGGTGACTGGAGTTTACAAATTAAATCAACAGAAGACAGATTAATTGGAAAGGAAGTTTACTTTGCATCTATACAGAAGAGTCACATAAAAGAAGTAAAAATCCAAAGAAATGCCTAGGCTTGAGGGCTTATATACCATCTTAGCAAAGGGCTGTATATTGTGGTAAAATGATAAGCAAAGGATACAAAGCTTGGGCTTCTGGGGACAGCAGATAGTGGGAAGGTGTGTATATGGGAGAGTCAGTTGAGGTACGTTATGCCATTCAAAGCCCACTCTTCGGCATTCTGACCTAGAGTTGGATTAGCCTGGGTCTTAGATGAGCAATGGTGAGTGTTCCCTCACAAGCCTGGAGTGACACACAAGTGATCTTGCACCATCTCTGCCTTGTGGTGAGTAAGTGCTAAGGATTAGCAGTGAGTGTTAATCTAAGCCCCTCAACTGCAATAGTGCCTTGGGTGTGGTTAGTGTTTATGATTGTAACAAAAGACCTGTGACAACCAGTTTGATGGAGACAATCAAATTAAAAGAGGAACGGTTTGTTTTGTTTATAGTTTCAGAGTTTTCAGTCCATGCTCTCTGGGCCACATGGCTGTGGGCCTGGAGTTGCACATCGTGGCAACTTCCCTTACTACAGCCTCGGAGCAAATGATGAGCTAGAGGAAGAGGTGAGGGTTCAGATACCCCTCCAGGGGCACATTCCCAATGATCTAACTTCCTTCCACTAAGCCCCACCTTTTCAAGAGGGAACCACCTTCAGGCAGTTCCTTTAGTGCACGAATGTTTGGGGAAGACATTTAAATTCTAAACCATAAGAATGGAAGTGAGGTGTACATAATCCCTGGCTCTCTATCCCTACCAGAGTGGATTGTTTCTTCTTCCTCCCTCCCTCCGTCCCTCCGTCCCTCCGTCCCTCCCTCCCTTCCTCCCTCCCTCCCTCCCTCCCCTCCTATCCTCACCCTCTCTTTCATTTTTTTCTGAGATAGGGTTTCTTTGTGTGGCACTGGCTGTCTTGGAACTCGCTCTGTTGATCAGGCTTCCCTTGAACTCACAGAGATTCTCCTGCCTCTGGCTCCTGAGTGTTGGGATCAAAGTTGTATATCATCACCATCCAGCTCACATGGATCATTTCCTAGGAGTTAATTTGAATTCCCAGAGCCCCAGCCTTCTCCAGTCCTCTATCTGGTACTAGAGAGGCCTGGTGGCCACATCAAGGCTGTGTCCTTGCAGCTGGAGCAGTGGAGGGGTAAGGCTCAGTTCACACTGGTTATCCCAGCGCTCAGAAGGTGGAGGGAGAACAATCAGAAGTTTGAGGTAAGCCTCAGCTACACAGTGACTTCAGGGCCATAAAAATAACATCCTAAACGAGGCAGTAGTGGCACACTTCTTTAATCCCACTACTTGGGAGGCAGAGGCAGGTGGATCTTCAAGTTTGAGGCCAGCCTGGTCTACAGAGAGTTCCAGGACAGCCAGGGCTACACAGAGAAACCATGTCTTTAAAAAAAAAAGATATAAAGGAATGATAAAATTCATCTTAGATGAGTAATTTTGACAGTGTTTGTAAATTTCTTTGGAGTTTTATTTATCCAGGTTAGATTTTTGGGGTTGAGCTTAGTAAATTATTTTAACTGTAGTCAACTCACTTAACTATTGTAGCACGACCCAACTGAAATTAAAGTTCTCTGGGTTTTTATTTGTTTTTATACTTTGGATCTATGATTTGGGCAAAGGAGAGCCGCTGGCTCATTTCAGTTGACTTG